CAGGGACACGCTGCGAGGCCGTGCCTTGGGACCTGCCACGTGGCTGTGCCTGGGGACCTGCAATGTGACTGCGCACGGGGATGGGGACCTGCCACGTGGCCGTGCCCAGAGACCTGCTGCATGGCCATGCTCAGGGATGGGGACAGCTTGGTGGCAGCCACGGCAGGAGCTGGGAGGCCCTGGACGAGGACGGTCACACGGAGAGTCCCCAAACTGGGCACAGGGTGCAAAACCGCCAACGCATGGCCTCCTGTCCCCACTGCCACCGGCCACGGTCCCTCCGCGCCGGGCAGGCTGCAGGCTGCGGGTGCCTTATCCACGTCCCAAAGCCACGCCGGTGTCCCACCGCCGTCCCCACGCCCTGTCCCCACGCTGTCCCCTTGCCCGGCCGTGGCTCCTACCTGCTGCTGGCTCTGCTCCTCCAGGTTGAGCTTGACCTCGAGGGACTGGCGCGCTTCGAGGAAGGCTTTGCGGTGCTTGCGGTCGGCCATGTAGTAGGACATGGTGCCCACCGTGATGGCACAAAGGTAGATGGCAACGTTGGACAGGATCTTTGGGGACAGAGAAAAGGAGAGAGGGGGTGAGCGGAGCCGTGGAGAAGCCCATGGGTGCTGGCGAGTCCCTCTTTGGGCAGCAGAGCCTGAGAGAGGAGAGTGGACAAAATATGCCGGAGGAGGACGTCAAATACAGCGTGGGGACAAACCACCGAGCCACGGCCACCGTTGGCTGCTGGGGGGGGCTACAGCTCCATGGGCTGGAGCCCATCCTCCAGGCTGGATCTTGTCCCCACGGGCAGGACCCTGTCCCATCCCACGGGCTGGACCCCAGCTCCATGGGCTGGAGCCCATCCTCCAGGCTGGATCTTGTCCCCACGGGCAGGACCCTGTCCCATCCCACGGGCTGGACCCCAGCTCCATGGGCTGGAGCCCATCCTCCAGGCTGGATCTTGTCCCCACGGGCAGGACCCTGTCCCATCCCACGGGCTGGACCCCAGCTCCATGGGCTGGAGCCCATCCTCCAGGCTGGATCTTGTCCCCACGGGCAGGACCCTGTCCCATCCCACGGGCTGGACCCCAGCTCCATGGGCTGGAGCCCATCCTCCAGGCTGGATCTTGTCCCCACGGGCAGGACCCTGTCCCATCCCACGGGCTGGACCCCAGCTCCATGGGCTGGAGCCCATCCTCCAGGCTGGATCTTGTCCCCACGGGCAGGACCCTGTCCCATCCCACGGGCTGGACCCCAGCTCCATGGGCTGGAGCCCATCCTCCAGGCTGGATCTTGTCCCCACGGGCAGGACCCTGTCCCATCCCACGGGCTGGACCCCAGCTCCATGGGCTGGAGCCCATCCTCCAGGCTGGATCTTGTCCCCACGGGCAGGACCCTGTCCCATCCCACGGGCTGGACCCCAGCTCCATGGGCTGGAGCCCATCCTCCAGGCTGGATCTTGTCCCCACGGGCAGGACCCTGTCCCATCCCACGGGCTGGACCCCAGCTCCATGGGCTGGAGCCCATCCTCCAGGCTGGATCTTGTCCCCACGGGCAGGACCCTGTCCCATCCCACGGGCTGGACCCCGTGTCCCCACAGCCCGGGGGGGGATGGAGCAGGTTTGCAGATGGGAGCAAAGAGCCCTTCGTGGAAAATATGACCGAGAAGAGAAAGTTGAAAGATTTTGGTTTGTTTGGTCTCGGAATGGAGAGGATGTGACAACGGGCTCCGGCTGTGCCAAGGGAGTGATGGGGCCATGGAGACGCCCTCCCACCTCGTGGGCCACGGGCTGCGTTCCAGCCGGCGTGTAGGAGGCGGTGGGAAGAGCATGGAGCCGTCCCTGAGCTCGTCTCCATTGGGGATGTGCTGCCAGGCTCAGC